TGCATCAGAAACCATGGGAATTAGCATGCGGAACTATCAAAATTAGGTTGGTTTTTGCATCGGAAACAATAGGAATTCACATAAGGGGTGGTTTCCTGCAGTACATATATTGTAATACATATATGTTTTGTTTTCTTTTGGGGTGGCTTTTACATATGAAAGTTTGATTGTTCTTGGTTATTTTGTTTACTACCCTCTAACTTGAAGATTATATTACCCTTCGGGTAAATATGTTTACTACCTTCCGGGTGCAACATGATTTTTTTAACCCTCCGGGTATATGTTTATTTTATTGCCCACCGGGTTTATGAAATCTTTGTCATGGCCCCCCGGGCCAGACTGCAACCCCTTAAAACCTTCCAGGTACCCCTGCGATTACCCAAGCCCTCCGGGCCACACAGCCGCGCCTTTTTTTTAGCCACCCCTAGCTATGCTTGCCTGCGTGCAATCTAATTTTTTGCTGCAAAAACATCAGGTATCTTTGTAAAGTCGTCAAAGGAGAGGTTTTGCGATGCGTCCTTCGCATCACACGCGTGACTTTTTTCATCCAGTCTTCATCCATCCAAGTACTATCCCTGGACGGGTTGCGATGGGATCTTCGCATTGCAGCATCCAAAATTAGATGATGGACTAGGTGTCACCTTGGGCCATTTTCCAAACTTTCGGCTGGGCAGCCTGCAAGTAGAGCTTTAAAAAACTTTCACCCAAAACTTGAATTTGTTTTGCACAAGTTTCGGAAATGAAGTCTTCTCCATCACACAGCATCGTCGCCCAGCTGTCGGCCAGCCACACCATTGCAGAAATGTGGTCATACTGTGGGTCGGTCACTTCTGCAAGTTCTTCCCGCAAGCAACGAAGAATTGCAAATGCATCGTAGCCTTTGGCTCTCAACTCCTGGCATTCCAGACCACGGAAAAATATACACATACACATGCAAGCAAAACAGAAAGTATACCGTATACCGGTAACAAATAAAAACAGCAATGCAACTAAGCGTCAGGAAAAACTCCTTTTTTCAAGCACAGGTTGTCTTGGGAGAATTTTCTCAAAGCAGTTTTCTTTCCAGACGCTTTGCAGAATCTGCGAAGTCTCAATGTGGCTCGGTGCAGCCGAACATCCACACCACCGCCGCCAAAAAAAACACCCACGATGCAGGATGAAGTGTGGCTGGTCCATGGCTGGGTTCATCACGTCCTAGATCATCATTGTCTGGTAGTACTTCTCGTCGACGTGGAGAGGCTGAACGCAAGGTGACAGATGTGGCTCTGCTTGGACGTCTTGATGGGTTCCTCGAAGTGGAATGTCGTCTCCTGTGTGACGAACGTGGTCGAGAGGAACGATGTGTTCGTCTGGGTGATTTGTCTCGACGCGGACTTCGTGGAACAGAGATTGGACGTTTGCCCGGTGCCCCACGGTGCCGGTGGGAGCGAGAACGAGAGCGACGATGAGTGTGTTGTGGTGGTGGTGGAACTTCATCTGGTGGAGGAGGATGACTTGGAATAGGTGGAGAGGCTTGAATTGGTGGTTGAGCGGGAGCTGGAGGTTGGCTCATGTTGCGTTCTTGGTTCTTGTCCACAAAAGCTTGCATACTGGATTCAACCGTGTTCTTCATCTGCTGCATCATCTCTTCTGCATTGAAGGATACACTGGATCCCGGTGGTGTGGATTGAGGTGCCACCGGTGTTGGTGGTTCAGGCACTGATGGTGTGGACTGAGGTGGATGTGGAGTGAACGTGGATTGGTGGAATGGAAGAAGCTGTTGGAGGTGCTGGATATGGGATGAGCCTGTGACGCAAGTTGTTGATTCAGGATGGTATTTTGCTCTCTGAGAGCCGCAAGTTGTGCCTGAGTCTGAGCTTGAGACTGAGCTTGTGACTGTTGGTTCATTAGATCACCTCCACAAAATTGACCTGGAAGTCCCATCGCTTGTGGATTCCATCCAAAGTTCCACATCGCATCAGAGACGTTGGGAAAACGTCCAGGGAACATGGCCGCACTGTCAGGTGGTTTTCTAAAAACTAGCACAACAGAGATGCATCCACAATTCATGCAAGGATCGTGGTAAGGCTCAAAGGCCCTCGGTATTCAATTCAACCCCATCGACGGCTGTCAGTAGTCAAATGAATTACATGCACAATTCAACCTCACCAACGACCATAAAAGAAAGAAGAACCATACCTGCAAGGATGTCCTGTTGCCTGTGAACTCATGTGAAAATGGCTGCGGAATGGCTGTCTCTTGAGAAAAGGAAGGATTGTTGTCGCGGCCTCAAACTATGCAGTGTCAATCCAAACGAATGGTGATTCCCTGGTACAGCGGGAAGCAGTTTCAACACTCACTCGACCGACGTGTGAGACTCTGAAAAAGGCCAACGGTTCACTTTACTTAGACGAATTACTAATTCAAAAGTGTAAATTCAGACATCGTTTTACCGTCAATTTTTAGCCTAGAAAGGCTTTCCCCGAAGGGCTCATACCACCTTGTCGGATGTATGAGTGACACACTTGCTCAGAAACATCTTATCGAATTACTGATGTGGAATGCATCTTACGTGCAAAAACACTTCATTCAAACCTGACAGGAGAAAATTGGATGACTCGGCGTGAGAAACAGTGGAGAAGAATTCTTTCTACGTCCTTGCTATAAGCAACTGTTCCATCTGACGAAGTCAGCAGTAAATCAGATTGCGAAAACCGTGCAAACGAGAAATGAAAATAATTTGTTTGGAAACGGCATGGTGGTTCTTGGGTTAGCCACGTCCCATCACAGGAAAAAGCAGGTACGTTTTCACCCCCATACTGTCTGGTCTTCGTTGGCCAGGACAGACCCCTGCGTGAAAATTGAAATTGGAAAATAAATCATGAAGAGTCAAACCAAACAAGTAGTGCAACGAAATCAACGGATAGAACTTTTACATCTTTTCAGATGGTCCACACACACATGTGATATACATACCCATACATTTGACACACGCACACACACAGAGACACAGAGACACCACGCGACACACACTTGCTCAGAAATATCTTATCGAATTACTGATGTGGAATGCATCGTACGTACAAAAACACTTCAGTTAAACCTGGCAGGAGTAGTTGAAAGATCAGTAGTGAAAACCTATGCGAAGGAAATCATACAACTCGTTCTGATGCAGCTCATTCATCCTCAAATGACAATGGAAGTTCAGATTGCGAAAAACCGTGCAAAAAAGGAATTGGAAGACCAGTTGGTCGACGTGCCGGTTCTTGGCTTGGCCGGTCGCCATTTCTGAACATTGACATCGAAAAAATGAAGCAGGTACGTCACGGTGATCAGCCGTGATATCCGCATGTACTGTGGCCGCTTCGTTGGACCATCGCTCACAGTACATGGATGGTCCCCCTGCAGAAACATGGTAGAAGTTTTACATCTATTCAGATGGTTCACACACACCCCCTCCCGCAGGAGGGTGAAAAATTAAGGTCCGGACAGTGAAATGAAAGTGAAAATGAAGGGAACTGAAGATGAGGTGAAGATGAAAATGAGATGAAAGTTACTTAACCAGGACGCGAAGAGGGGAACGCAACGCAGAGGGAAAGAGAAAACACCAACACAAGGAAACCTAGCCCACCACGGGCAAACCCTGAAAAGGCAAGGAAAAAGAAAAGCGGAGGCAGACGGAAACGGAAAAAGACCAGCGGAGGGGGGGGGAGGACGGACGCGCCTGAACCAACCTACCACAGCGAAACCTACGCCTACCTCAGCACGCGCAGAACCCAACCTACCTGGAGAGAGGAGAACGCAGGAACACATGAAATAAGGGACCCATGGGGAACTAGTTAATGGAAAGATGCATCCACAATCCATGCAAGATTCGTGATAAGGCTCAAAGGCCCTCGGTATTCAATTCAACCCCATCGACGGCTGTCAGTATTCAAGTGAATTAAGTGCACAATTGAACCTCACCAGAGTAACCAAAAAGAAGTGACCACACCTGTAAAGCATGTCCTGTAACCTGGATTTCCATGTAAACAGCTGCGGACAGTCTCTTGAGAAAGAACAGAAAGATTGTTGTCGTGGCTTCCAGCTATGTAACTCGGCTACCGGTGGCAAAAATGAGGAGGCCAGGCACCGCGGCACACTGTTCAACAGATCGACATCGACAAGTGAGACCAGGAAGAATGGCCGGCAGTTCACTTTACTTAGACGAATTACTACTTCAAAAGTGTAATTTCAGACATCGTTTTACCGTCAAAAGTTAGCCTGGAAAGGCTTTCCCCGAAGGGTTCATACCATCTTCACGAAAATCGGTATGAAGGACACACTTGCTCAGAAATATCTTATCGAATTACTGATGTGGAATGCATCGTACGTGCAAAAACACTTCAGTTAAACCTGGCAGGAGTAGTTGAAAGATCAGTAGTGAAAACCTATGCGAAGGAAATCATACAACTCGTTCTGATGCAGCTCATTCATCCTCAAATGACAATGGAAGTTCAGATTGCGAAAAACCGTGCAAAAAAGGAATTGGAAGACCAGTTGGTCGACGTGCCGGTTCTTGGCTTGGCCGGTCGCCATTTCTGAACATTGACATCGAAAAAATGAAGCAGGTACGTCACGGTGATCAGCCGTGATATCCGCATGTACTGTGGCCGCTTCGTTGGACCATCGCTCACAGTACATGGATGGTCCCCCTGCAGAAACATGGTAGAAGTTTTACATCTATTCAGATGGTTCACACACACATACATACATACATACACACACGTGACACACACACATATGTGACACACACACATACACACACACACATGTGACAGACACACGCGCAAATGTGACAGATACACACACACACATTGACACACACACACACATGTGACGCAGATGTGATGCACATGGTACACATACGCGCACAGACACGCGCATGCAAAGAGGCATTGTCTTTTAAAGTTTTGTGTTCGTGTGTTTGGAGTTGTTTTGTGTGTCAGGCATGGAGGAGGACGAAATAGGACGAAGATGACATGCCAGTAGACACCTTCGAACCACTGGAAGAAGCCCTGGAACCGTTTTTGGTTGCACTCAACAATCGCTGCATCGGACCTGGCGACTACGCAGCAGAACTTGCTATCAACTACACGCTCAATCGGCAACAGATTCTGGCAGTGGCGCCCATTGCGTGGGTCATGGAGCAAATGTGGCTGAATCGTTCCAACTTAGACTCCATGATGGCCGATGGAGCTGCAACTGAAAGCTGCAGCTGTTTATGGCTGGGCGCTGGAGGCTCCGGCAAGACGTACGCATATGCCAAGGTGCTGCGTCCAATGTTCCGCCGATACTTCGGCGATGCTGGCTACATTGTGGGGGCTCCAACACATGCCGCTGTTCGTCTTCTTGGCCCCGAAGCAAAGACCTTGCACAAATGGGCAAATGTGAGCCCAAACAGTGGCCTCAATCGACGCTCACTGCGGTCAGCCAAGAGCAAGGGCGACCCGATTGAGAAGAAGATCATCGAGGTCATGGCCGTGCTCTTGGACGAACTGTCAATGAACCCTCCTGATGTGTATCACGCGGCAGGATTTCGGTTTTCTTTGCTACGGCAGGAACGGATGATGTTGGACATGGGATGCTACTTGGATCAGTGGTTCGGCAAGGTGCCAATTGGCGTGCAGCTGGGCGATTTTCTGCAGCTGCGCCCAACCGCACAGCGCTCGCTGTGCGAGTGGCACACCGCCCAACGTGCCACTGACAGCATGGCTGCAGCTGCCAGCGATGACGAAGACCTTGGAGACGACGAAGCAGCGCAGCAGACCAGCAATGCAGCTGAGCTTGGCTGGATGCTGTTCAAGAATTCCTTGCAGCGAGTGGTGCACTTCACAGGGTCGGGGAGGTTCTCTACTTGCTCGCCTGGGCAGCAGCTTGTGGAAGTTCTGTTGGCAATGCGAGAAGGCAAGAAGATGCCGGATGCTTTGTGGGCAGCGTTGGAAGCGAGATCCTATAGCACAGTGCAGCTGCAAGCGGACGAACTGCGGGGACGTTTGTTGGATGCCCACTGGGGCGGTCTTGCTTGGGAGCAAGTGGCTCGTCTACAGCATGTTCGCGTTGGTCTGGAAGCGAAGGAAATGAAGAAAACTGTTTGCCTCGTGCAAGCCATCGATCGAGCTACAGGCCCCAATGATCTCACAAGGGAACAAAACATCAGTGCACTGCAGATTGTGAACATGACCAAAACTCATTAAATTATCTCATGTGGATTTGTCCGCTGTACGAAGGCATGGCTGCGCGCATCAGTTGCATTTTGGATATGCCACTTTTGAACCGGGAGCTGCCGGTCATTGTGCGGTCTGTCAAGCTACATCCCAAAGAGCCAGCAATTGAGGATGACTGCGGCTGTGTCGTTTTGAGGTATCAGCCAGTGGCAGTTTTGGTGGAGATTGATGATCCCAATTACAAGAACATTCAGCTGCCTGGCAACTTGGCGCCGCGGGGTCACGTTTTGCTTCGTGCAGTTGCCTCAGACAAGGCTTGGAGTGGTCCTAAGCAACACATCCCAGTGATTCGCAAGCAGATTCCCTTGGCTCCTCGTTGTGTCTTGACACATTATGGCTTGCAGGGCATCACGGCTAAGAACGGACTGGTCGCGTTCTTGTCTAAGCCGTCCTGGATGAAGGATCCCGACTATGCTCTGGCGATTTATGTCATGTTGTCGAAACCAAGAAAGCTGGATGATCTGTGGATCATTGATCTGCCTCCGCGGCACATGTTCGAGCAGTTTCTCCACGAGCACAATCCTTTACTGGTGCAAAGGATGAAAGAGTTCGAGCAGCAAGCGAAGGTGGACGAGATCAATGCATTGGCTTATTTGTCCAATTTGCAATGGCAACATAGGGACGAGATTCGCCAAATGCTTGCGCAGGACGACCTGCGAGAAATGACATAG